ATATTGGCTATTGATTACAGACAATTTCACTGTGAGGTACTATGTGTTTTTCAGAAGTTACTACTTAAATGCAACAGTATTTTTCTTCTACAATTCTTGTCAGGGCCAAACATGCTTTTATTAATGTAATATTGGATTCGCTGGAGTTCAAGGGCAAGGGCTCCTCCTACCTTGTCTTGAACTAAGAATATAATATATGCCGTATAAGCCCTTTTACCATTTCTTTTTTTTTTTCACCAAAACCTGTATATTCATTAAATGAAAAAAACATAATTACAATGAGTTCCTTACGGCAAGGGTAGGGGCGTTATTTAAAAAATTTTTACTTAGAAATTTTCTAAGTAGTGTCATATTTAAAAAGTTTTTTTTCTCAATTTAGGATCTATTGAGAGAGTACCTAAATCAAATGCAACATGACTTTACTTAGAAGAATATTGTTGAGTATTATCATTACTAAAATTTTGTTATTATTATTTGGGATTCGAGTCTTGTGAGATAATTTATTTTCTTTTAAAATATCTTTCCCTGACTTATTTATCTAAAATTATAAAATTATTTAAAAATTACTATTTATTAGTATAAATTAAAGTATTAAAATTAAATAAAATATGATTTTAGTAACTAATAATATGACAATTTTCTATTCATTGATAAAAACTAAATATAAGCATCCACAAACCACATTAAATACAAAGATCAAATAATCAAATAATATATCTACAAAATAAATCAAAAGAAAAAAGACTCACAATTTTAATATATTATTTGACATGTAATACTATTTTCTACTAGGTAGATTATAATTATGAACCCAAATTATCAAACTAATCATAAAAATATTTAGATATGAAGTATTTAAAAACTTAATTTAAGTTGAAAATTACTTTCAATGGAAGTCTAGATGAGTTATTTTGAGAGAATGAAAAACACAGTCAAAGAACAAAAAGGGGAAAGATTTGAATTTTTAGACAAAAGAGTAGTTTAAGTTTTAACATTTTTAATAAAATCTTAAATTATATAAAAAAATTTTATCTTTCTTTATAGTATTTAAATATTAATACATAAATTACTTTTACTTAGAGTCTTTGAACCCATTTCCTATAAAATTATAAAAAATTAAATTCATTAATATATTAACTACTCTAAATCTTATATAAATTGTATAAGAATTAAAATATTTTAAGAAGTGCTTGCAACATGGATCCGCCAATAAGTGGGGGAAGGAACAAGAGATAGATCAGCGTCAAGACATACAAAGAAAACTGCCAAACGCTGAAACAGCATCAAGACTTCATTGTGTCACTTCAATGGCAAATATATTATCCGACGTAACGAGGCATCACAATGTCACTTCATTGATCATCGTTAATTGCTAATTATCATTTGCATCATTTTCATTATCACAAGAATCTATCAATATCCACAAGTGAATCTTACATGAAAATTTAATTTTCTTTTCACAGTTTACACAGAATAATCATATTATAAAATTTTTCTTTTTTTAGTTAAAAACTATATAAACTAACAATACCAACTACAAATTCAAACTAATAATGATGTCGTTAGTAATATATTTAGCATTTTTTGCATCTCCCTAGAGTAATCTTGTGCATAAAATGACATTTTAAAGAAAAATTAGCATCGACATACAATTGTTAAGTTCTACTACTTTAATCTTTCAAAGTTTTATGTCTTATTTTATCCCTTTTTTTTTCTTAAACCTTGGATCTAATAAATGGTTTTACGTGAACATATATCTTGATTCAAATTAAAACTTGTGTCAAATTGTTGGAATACTCTTGCCGTGGCTGGCTCTGCCATGCCGGTATTCATGAACTATACATGCATGCATTATTAAGCTTAATAAGATCAAATTCAACCTGCAGATGACTTTTTACTTGATCAATTGTAAGCCCCTCAACCTGCATCAAGTCTCTAATTTGCTTAGGAGTAGCCACTGCCCAGCAGAAGATCAATGAATAAAATTAAGTCAAAAACAAGGGAACTAAAACTAAATCTGTACTTATCAAAGGAAAAATGAAACCCATGCACTCATAATCAATAATCCATGCAAAAAAGGGACACCTACTTTGCTATCAATATATAATATGTTATCAAACTAAGGTTAGAAATCATAAATTTCAACCATAAAAAAAATAAATTCGGATGTTTAAGTTCTGACCTTCAATGCCTCCAAGCAGATTCAAAGCCTCCACAAATCTAGCATGAAGCTCAGATGACCAACATCTCCGGTTATTCTTCCATATGGGTTGAGTCAACGGCTTTGGATGATAATTAACAGTTTGATCATCTACCTTGAGATACAATAAACTTTGATGTCTAGATAATTGATCTATGGCTACCTCCTTTCCCTTGCCAGTACTTGGTGATCCAAGGGAATTTGAACTACACTCCTTGTATGACAAGAGTCCTAACCCTTCCACGTTTCTGTCTGTGCATGGCTGGACTGCTTTTAGATTTGGAGGCTGGAGAAGTCGTTAAGATTTTATTCAACAAGTTGAAAAAAACTATATCTTGTTGCATATGAACCCAAAAACAAGTTGAAAGGTCACCTCTTTGTCTTTTACCTGGAAGCTGCCTAGGACTAATGTTTTCTGCTTCTTAGCATAAATAGGGTTCCAGTACTCTTCTTCTGCACTGTATGTTTGCCAGAATTCCCTTTGATCCTGCTCATTTCTGTTTTTCCTCATAGTAGGCAGATACTCCACCAGAGGCTGTCTAGACTGACATTCCATTTTCTCCTCTATATTCTTGAATCCCTCCTTCAATGCCTCAATTGCTGCATCTCAAAAAATAAAAAGGAAAAAATCTTCGATGTTTGTCATTAATGAGATAGATAGAAGAAAAGCAGAAAGAGAAGAAAGGAAGAAAAGAGAGACAGGGAAGGGGCATGAGGAATCGAAAAATTTCTCTGAAAATAATCAGGAAAACTGATCAAACTAGATTTTTACCAGGGCTTACCGTCCATTAGAAGTAGCCTGCATTGAGGAAGTTCACGTTTTAACGCCTCAACCGTGCTTAACTCTTCCTGATGCTTGCAAATATAATCACTCAGCACTGATAACTTATCCGATTCGTTATCAATTTTCGACAAATCTTCAAGCAGGTTGCTTATGGATTTAGGCACATAAGATGGTTTAAGACTCAAGCTAAGATCCACAGAAGTTGGATTCATTATTTTGCCTCTCTATTGAACTGTCTTTCAGTTACTGCAGGAAAGGAGTTTGGGGAGAATTATATATAGAGAGTGTGAGCTGTCTAAGAGAAACGTAAAACCTGATATAGATGCCGGGTTAATCCTAGAAGACAAATTTTATTACGTACCAAAGATTCCTGTTCATTTTTATCTCATTTTGTGAGGACATGAGTTTGTTCTAGATTTGAGTAGAAACACCAAGTACTATGTTAGGACCAAGTATATACTAAGGTTAAGTATGATTGGTTGCATCCACTGATTGAAAAGCAAATGATGTAATTGAGAAAGGTTCACACAGAATATTTCCGACAGGCTGATGAAGGCTCTTTCCACACAGAAACTTGAGCTATGCAATGCTGACACCGGATGGTTTTCAAGAGATTCCAGCCCATGGCTTTCAAATGGCCATGTGTTGGTGGCTTTGCTTTACTTTGTTTTGAGTGGCCCTAGATAGCACGGCGTAGGAAGTTCCAGAACTGCCAAGGTTCTTGATAGCAAAAGCCGGATTTCTTGATAGCAAAATTTGTAAGAGCTTTTTGACAAGTGTGGCGAGCGGCTAAAGGTAGGAAACCGAGAAACAATTGGAGCTACAGGAGAGATTTAATTTTTGGACAGCGAGCACATTAACCACGGAAAATTAGTCTTTCTCTAGTCTAATTTTCTAGAGGTGTAATTTGATACTATATTTAAATTATAAGGTAAAAAATCGAGACAAGGGCGTGGTATTATTGATTTTGATAGTGGATTTGTCGTTGGTTCACACGTGGATTTTCACCCGACGTTTCACATATATTTGATGTTTCTTTATTTTTCTTTTCATAGTTATGATGACTATGGCTTTATATTTTCATTTGATTGGTTAAATTAGATTACTTTTTCTTTTGTGATTATTATTGACTTCGAGCTATATTGTCTATTTTGTATGGATATCATATAATATTCTGTTGATTTGTTCCTCAAGATCCTACAAGATTGGCATCCACTTTATATCCTTTTACCTTTGATTTAGATATAACTTTCCTTTGAAAATATATTGACACAACAGGGAAAAAGATAAACACTATAATAAATTTGACTTAAAGACAACACATTTTCAAAATGTGCTACCAAAAATATTTTCAATAACACTTTTTTTTATATTTTTTAGAACATTTTTATATATCTAACTTCATTATATAAATTTTTGGATGCATTAGGAATAAAATGTAATCATAAAAATTGCATACACCGGTAAAAATTATACTTTCTTATATTACTACTAAATGTGAAAAAAGTAAAATTAAAAGTTTAAATAATTATACTTTTTAAAAGTTTACTATAAAAAAATACGTGACTTAAAGAAGTGTGATTAAAAATCAATTTTTTTATAGTAAACAGAACATACTATTCATACTTTCTTTTTTATTTGACTTAAAATAACTTATTTACAAATTGATATTCATATATATATGGCTAATTTATAGAATAAATTTTTTTATCATGTTATTTAAGAGTATTTAACTCAATGTTAAATGCATTAGGTCCAAATTCTTTTTATTCCAAAATTCAAAGAAAGAAAAAAAAACCATATCAAATTAAGAGAGACAAAAAAAATTGGTGAAACAAATAGCATTACTTGGAAAAATATATTATTAAGCTAGCATCGAAAGGGAAGGAATTTATGTGACGTTTTAAAGTTAAGGATTTTTGGAAAGAATACCTTAAGGACACTCTTTAAGGTTACCATATTATCGAGATTCATCACATTAACTATCAATCACTACATTTAATACAAAAACATTACTATAAATATAAAATTAACTAAGCTTAAAAAGTGTTTATAAAAAGCAAAACTCTTTAATTTAAAAAGCAGAGATTTCAAACATTCCATGCAACGTGGCAGATTTTGATGTAGGGTAATTGACTAACATCCCAGGAAAGATGAAAACATTCATTCCGACGGGTTAAAATTCTTTCTAAAACCCTTGCATGGCATGGCAGATTCCAATGTATCAACTTTTTCATCAATTGATGGAAGTCTTACATACATTGAATAAGACTTGTGGGCGAAGCTAGTCCACAAACATTAAAGAGAGGGAAACGAGGAACCAGCAGCTCCTGGCTAGGATTTTTCCACCATGGGTTCTGAAACCTTCAACGCCTTTCAAAAAGCTAAAAGTATATACTCCCTCCCTTTTTCTTTATTGAATACCTCAAAATTATTATTTAAAAAAAACACTTAATGCTCTTATGTTTTATTTAAATTTATTTTTCATAATTTGTTTTATTTTTTGACATTAAAAATCATAAAATATGCTTTTTTATTTAAAAATTAAAATTTTAATACAAATACGCAATATTGAACTTTTTTCTAAATTATAAAAGATTATTAACTTTAAGATGGAGGAAGTAACACTTTATTGCCAAGCACTTTGATGTTACATTGTGTAGAGCTTATTAGGTTGTTTAGCCAATTGATGCCATAAACAAGAACAGAAAAAAGAGAGAACAATATCACGGTGCAATTACTTTGATGTTATGTTGTGAAATATGAGTTGAATTTTCTTTTATGATAAAATGAGGAAATTTAAAAAGATTTGATTTTTAAATCTTAATTCTTTTTTTTTTTTTGCTAAGCCATTCATTAAAATTAATAAATAGGTACAAAAGAAGGCTTGTAAGCCATAGGAATAGCAACTACAAGCAACAGATGAGAGGTAATCCCTGCTGCAAGGAACAAAATCAAAGAAAAAACTGAGGACAGCCCCTGCCGACAAAATGAACCAAGGGACAATGAATCAAAGAGTGACCAAACGACTATGGTGTGGTAATCCAAAATCAGATAGAAAGAACTACAGAAGAGGTCAAAATCATTAAACCATTGAAGAAAAGTTACCACCAGGCGGAAAATGGTGTGCTACTATCAACACTATATTTTGCCAAGGAATCAGCAAAACCATTGCCTTCTCTAAAGATATGTTTAAAAGAAACCATACCTAGCGTAATGCGAAGAGAATCTAATTAGTTAAAAATACTCCATTTGTCCCACGATCGCTTTTCAACTGAGTTAATCCTTGAGATAGTAGTGTGTGAATCAGATTCAATGATTAAAGGATATGATGCGTAAGGGCAAACAGCAAAGAGCTTTAGAGCTTTTAGAATGGCCATTAGCTCTGCGTAGTTAGAGTCATGTAAGCCAAGAGGGTAGAAGAATAAGCCAACTACATTACCATCAGAATCTCGAAGAACACCATCGCAACCAACAGGTTTCGAAGCTTGCCTTTGCCGAGCTGTCGACATTAAATTGAATTCACCAATGGGGGTGGAGACCATAGAGTACCCACACGTTGGTGAAGCGGCGAAGTCTTCCTCAAAGAGAGACGTGGGTCGGTCCACCATCCCAAGTCATCAATGGCATCAACACCTTCTCAAGCTCGTGTCCAAAACATTGAGCGTAATTTGATGAGGAAAAAAATTTGAAGGCCATCCAAAACCTTAGAGTTGAAGACTGTCTCATTGCGTGCTAGCCAAAGAGATCATAGTGAAGCAACATAGACAATCAGCCATCTCTTATAAATGTTTCCCCCAAAAGGGCAACCTTCTCAAGCTTGCATGAAAGAGGATAAAGAACAGGGAGAGCACCAAGAGATTCCCTACCATCTAAAAACATATCCCCATACTCTCCAACTAAATGGGCAGATAAAGAGAATGTGTGAACAGCACTCCTCAACTTGGCCACACCACATACAACGAAGCTGGTCAGGGGAGAAATGAACCCCACGTGAAGAGAGAAAAGCTTTCGTAGGAATAGAGTTGAGGATGGCCAGCCATAGGAAGCATTGGATCTTTGGGGGAACAGCCAATTTCCAAATAGAATGAAACCAGACTGTGTTAGAATCACTTGAGGGATCCAGTAGAGAGCAAAGAGTTTTGACTGAAAAAGAACCTATCGAATCATGCGTCCAAACCAGTTTATCATCCCTCAATGGCACAAGTGAAATAGACGAAAGAGAGTATAAAATCCGGTCCAAGTCCTTTTTCTCCCAGTTATACAACTCGCGTCTAAAGTTGATTGACCATAAACCGTTCTGACAAGCATCACGGACTCTCATATCTTTATCAACGGCCAAAAAGAAAAGTCTAGGAAATTTAGATGCAATGGGAATGACATCAATCCACTTGTCAAGTCAAAAGAAAATAGCCTCACCATTGCCTACAATCCAATGACAGGCATGAAACCCAATCAGATTTTGCATCCCTTTAACAGATGGTAGTTGGACAATACTCCTCCAAACTGAAGACCTTCTCGCTGTGCCAGATGATGACGGTGTCCAATGAGGTTGTCCTGTGTCATTTTTTCCATTATTAGTCTTTTTCACAATGCATTTTTGTCCGTCCTATAACACCACCACCACTTGGCTAGTAAAGTAAGGTTTTTATAAGACAAGTTGGTAATTCCTAACCCTCCAAATTGCTTTGGCTTGCAAACCGTGGCCCATTTAACTTTTGAGATCTTTCGTTTGTCTGATGTTCCACCCCATAAGAAAGATCGTCTTAATTGCTCTAATTTATGAAGAACACCTTTGGGTGCTTTGAAGACTGAAAGATAATAGAGTGGTAGTGAGTTAAGAACCGAATTAATAATTGTAACCCTACCTCCAAGAGAAAGGTATTTTCTCTACCATAAAGCAAGCTTTTTCTTGAATCTGTTGATGATTGGATCCCAAGTAGATGCTCTCTTAGGGCTGGTGCCAAGTGGAATACCAAGGTATGAAAAAAGGAGAGAGCCTACTTCATAATGCAAAAGAACTGATAACTCGCTACCCAAAGAATCTGAGATACCAATCAAAAAAACAAACGATTTTTTCAAATTAATATGAAAGCTCGAAGCTAACTCAAAGCAGTGTAATATCCGTTCAAGATTAAGAGCACCTTGGGTGTCAGTACACATGAAAATGATAGTGTCATCAGCATATTGCAAGTGAAAGATAGAAAGGCTA